TATTTGTGTGTTGGGTTGTTGTAATATAGTGATGTTGTGTTATTGTTATAGATTATAATATGATGAGTTGATAACATGTTTGGTGAATGGTGATACCATGACGTTGTGTTATGTGGTATGCATAATATATTGTTTTGTATAATGTTGTAAATGAATATGAATTGTATGTGGATGATTCATAAAATATGTGCATGCATGTGCCATTGCGTGGTACTTCAATTGTAATGAAATTATTGAAAATATGTATGGATGTTAAGATTAGATAATGGTCTTAATTTTATATGGTTGTTGTAATTGCACATACATAATTTTTTGTTAAGAGACATGCTTGTTAGTTCATCGGAACTAGTGACTTGCTCCAAACCTAGAGAGGGATTTGAAAGCTTAGAGGACTGGTTTTTTATGTGTTATTGGTCTAGAGGACGGACCCGGTTTAAAGTAAAAATTGAATAAAAATAACAGTAATTGGTACCACATGCCTTAGTATTGTATTGAGTTGCATTGAGTCATATCGTGTGTATGTTTGCAATATGGAATTATGCGAACTATGTGTGATTAATGTATTTTATGAAATTGTGAATGATGCATGAATACTTGTGAATAATATGATTATTTGAGTGATGTTATGTTTTTAAAGTATATGAAGTGTTGGAATATTATATGTATGGATGTATGTTATGTATTATATATTGTTATAAGATTTCAATAATTATGTGAATTCTCACCCTTCTGTTGGAATGATGTTTTATACGACATTGCTCGGGTACTAAAGATTAGAGTTGCTTCTAGAAAGAGATTAGCTGATGGAGTAACTTATTTTATTTTCCGTATTTATTTGGGTTGAATCATGCTCTGGTCATGTAACACTGGAAAACTTTTGGGTTCATGTTTTTGGAGAGATACTTCACGTACTATAATTTATTATGTTATTGCGATTTGAATTATGGTGTGAAGTGGCTTTTATGCCTAAGTTAATTAAATAAATGAATTTTATTTTGGAGACTTTAATATTACATCCATTTGATTGAAAGTGAAATTCGCTGCTACATGCTTATGATAAAGTGATATGAAAAGCATGAGTTTTAAATAAGTGTTATTGAGCATGATAGAGATTTGTGATGTATGGAGTATGTGTGACACCCCTTGTTTTGAAATACATGTTATATTACTATGATTTATGTTGTATTATTCCTCAGGGGTTTTGAGGGTGTTACACGAGTTGGTATAGTCATATACGGTTTGAATCCGGACTTAGGATGAATATCCATTAGGTTCTAAACTCTAGAGATAAATTTAGTTTTAATGTTCACTTTAGGTATCGACTCTTAATGCCTCTGTGTTGTTTGAGTTACGCGAGACATCATCGACGAAGTGAAATATAATTGATATCTCACTTTGCAGTAGAGATAAACTCTATGTGGGAGGTACATGATGATATTGACAAGTATTCTAGGTTGAGTGCAATTGAGTAGTAAGTTTAAGTATTTTTCGGGTATATGAAATACAATCCCGAGAGTTCTCGCCTCTCCGAAGAATGTATTTATTTTCAGTTCATATGTTTTTACCTCACCCTTACAAATCATTTTAACACAAGCTCAGAAACGTTGAAACTGTTGAATGACATTCTTTCCTTGCACTGATCTCTGTGAATATGATAAAACCCGGAATACTTCCAATATTTTGCTTGCCGCTTTACTGTGTCAACTTGTAGCAATCAAAACCCTATAAACCCCAAGTTCGATCTTGATCCTAACACTTTCTTTTCACTTGATCTTATCTTGATTAAGTTACCTAACAAACCAATTATATCCACTCTCTCGCGCTAGCTACTCCTTTGATCAAACCACTGTTATTCAAAGCTTTCACTCGGTCGAATCTAAATTGAAAATCGTTGTCACTCAATACTTCCATTTGATTCACCGTCTTACGCTACTCCTTTACAAGAACCACCATTCTTTAATTCCTTTCACTCGAAAGAATCCAAATTGAAAATGTATCATATCTCAAGTTTTACCAATTTGATTCATCGTCTCACACTACTCCTTTACAAGAACCCCCGTTCTTCAAAGCTCTTCACTCAATAGAATCCAAATTGTGCAATTGTGTCCAAAACCTTCAAATTCCAATGATCTTGAAGGAAAACCCCAACTTGGCTTTCTTATTTGAAACCCCCAAAAATTCCCAATCCAATCTTAGGTTACACCACTTAAATTGAACGTTATCACACAAATCTAGACGACACCCAAATAATGAATGATCATGTGTATTTTGTTTGTGTGTATGCATAAAAGAGAGGTTGAAGATGATGAGCAATTATTGTATGTTTTATTTCTTCTTGTTAAAAATGGTGCATGTATGAAGTATTTGTATGTGTGGATGTTAGAGGAAAAAATGGAGGCTTAGAAATTGAAAAGAAATACAATTTTTCAAAAAACTATAGTATAAGTCATGTGTCGACACATGTAATGACACGTGTTGATCTGTTCAAGGTAATGAGTCGACACATAGAAACACACATTACATGCTTTAAAAATGCAGTACATGTGTCGAAACATAGACAACATATGTCGACACATGATTCGACACATAGACATCATGTGTCAACACATGAGTCAACACATAGAAATAGAGCCTACATGCTTTAATATTGTAGTACATATGTCAACTCATATATCATATGTGTCAACACATAAACTTATTTTTAGTGCAGAAACTCATTTTTAATGCATGCTTCCTTTTCCAAACATGTTCTAAATGCATCCTAAGTACCCTAATACAAAGATGCACATAAAGAATCATAGATATCATCCGATATATAGAAATGCTAAGGTTATCCTAGTTTTGACATCATACAAAACATCTAATGGGCAAGTGCACTCATAACTATCACTTCCTTCACCTCTAATTTTGTCTACAAAGTAAATGATATTTTGCAAAATGAACTAAAGGTGAAGGAAGTGTCAGCAGAATAATTGGAAGCATTGAAACAAGTTCTAATAGTTAAAGAGCAAAATGCAGATAATGGATTGTATAAAGATCGTACAACAATTATTAGTGTAACTTGTTCTTCTAATATAAATTAATTTTTCATATTATTGATCTCTAAATTAGATTGAAAGGTTATATGTTTAGTGAGGAGTTCAGGAAATAAGCATTCAACATTAGTTATAATAAACTCAAGTAAGCATATCACCATAGTTAGAATCTAGGACCCTAGTGAAATCTTGTGTGTTAGTCTTTCACTACGGTTATGATCTATAACCGTTGTGAAATATATTGAAATGTGCAAAAGTCGTGGCATTGGGTATCGAACCCTTGACCCCAAATTTTTACTATGGTTGTTTTACACAACCGTATATTACGTGCTACAGTGTTTTTACCACGGCTAGTAGCCCGTGGTGGTAAAGATAGCACATACAATCATACTCTGCTTTACTACAGACCATCGTCCATACGAACCACCGATCATAGTAGAATCTTTCTCCCAAATATGGTAAGATATGTATTTCGTAGTAGTGACTAAGTTTAGTTAGGGTAAGCGACTACCGCACATTTGCCCAAAGTAATGTTCATGGACGCCCATTTATCACAACATGCATCGATTGCGAGTAAACACCCACCCATTGGTTGCATTATTCACCCTATGTTGAACTTGTGTAAAATCACATATTTTCCACTCATGGAACATGGGGATAGACATGTTCTTAAGCCTAAATGTATGAAATCTCAGTAAAAGGAGAAAGTCAAGTTCTCCCAAAGAATAAGAAAAATGACGGTTTCACACATATAAGAGGAGGCATAGTAACTACCTCATGGATCCAATAAACCTCTATAAATATCTCAACTACAAAATTGAAGAGGACAATCAATTCAGTCAAAAACTGTACCTCTAAATACATAATTTTTCACCATCTCTACGCGAGCTTGTTTCAAACACAAACAACTCCTAAAATCTTGGGACAACTCTAAACAATTATGTATTGTCATTCATTATACTTTTAAATACTTTTAGGAAATACCAATTTATGTTCTTATTACTTATTATCATTTAAATAATTGTAAATACTCGAAAAACAATAACATATGTCAGTAAATCTATCCAAAAAAAAATCTAATAAATTTTACTTAACTCCTAATGGATAATCACTTTTTTCATTGGAAAAATAAAATTTACTATAAGCACACATCATGTACTCAAAAAAATAAATAACATGTAATCATTTCAATAACGATAAAATAACGATAAAATTTGAAAGCAATGAGAATATAATTATTGACATAACAACGTGTAGAAAGATCCACCCTTGCAAGAACATAAGCCATAAGCAACAACAACCCCAATTAGCCTCCAAAAGCAAACTTGATTCATCATGGAAACAAAGACCAAAAACCTCAAATTCCAACTTCCAATCATGATTATTGTGTTTGATTCAAGTACTCCAAATGAATCATGACAACATTTTCTCCATCAAATCAATTGTTTCTTTTATTACCATACTTGTCCTCATCAAATCCAAATAATATAAGTACAACCCATAGCTAATATTGATTCATGGTTATTCCTTCCATGTCAATGTCCAAGTCCAAAGACAGAAAAACTTGGTCTTGCCATGAAAGTTCTGTTCCACTACTCTCACGATCATCATCGCTGTAACAGCAATTCACACCTTGTTCATGATACACTTTGCATAATACCACTCGCTCCAATTTTCACCCTGTCATGCACCATTTAACTATCTAGAAAAAAATTAATTAATTTTTTTATAGCTTATAGTAACAAAATAAATAGTGACTTACAACTTTATCAAACACAGAGGAGCAAATGTGATATTCTTGCATTACCCCACTAGTTTTCATTGAATACTAGGTACTTCTTCATTCCCACTTTTTGATCTGTACCTGAAAATATTGGTTCTGTCACACCAATTCCTTCCAATAAACCATTTTGAGTGGATCTGTTTTCCTTGTTCAGTTTGGTGAAGAAATAGTATTGGTCATCATCATTTCCACCCACACATAGCCATACCTATATAAAAAGATGTTTAGTTACATGGATAATATCTTAATAATAATAATATAATAATAATAATAATAATATAATAATAATAATAATAATAATAATAATAATAATAATAATAATAATATAATAATAATAATATAATAATAATAATAATAATAATAATAATAATAATAATAATAATAATAATAATAATAATAATAAATAATAATAATAATAATAATTAATAATAATAATAATAATAATATAATAAATAATAATAATAATAATAATAATAATAATATTAATAATAATAATAATAATAATAATAATAATAATAATAATAATAATAATAATAATAATAATAATAATAATAATAATAATAATATAATAATAAAATAATAATAATAATACTAATAATAATAATAATAATAATAATAATAATATTAATATAATAATAATAATAATAATAATAATAATAATAATAATAATAATAATAATAATATTATAATAATATAATAATAATAATAATAATAATAATAAATAATAATAATAATAATAATAATATAATAATAATAATAATAATAATAATAATAATAATAATAATAATAATAATAATAATAATAATAATAATAATATAATAATAATAATAATAATAATAATAATAATAATAATAATAATAATAATTAATAATAATAATAATAATAATAATAATAATAATAATAATAATAATATATAATAAATAATAATAATAATAATAATAATAATAATAATAATAATAATAATAATAATAATAAATAATAATAATAATAATAATAATAATAATAATAATAATAATAATAATAATTATAATAATAATATAATAATAATAATAATAATAATAAAATAATAATAATAATAATAATAATAATATACCATTTAATTCCCAAGGAAGAAGTAGAGAGAGATCAAGATAAGGGATGAAATTTGAGTGGGATGGTATAAGATCAGAAGCCTTAGAATATAGAAAGTGAAGGATAAGTTCTTCATCTGTTGGAGAGAAAACAAACCCAGGAGGAAGTTTGACAATATCTCCCATTTGATGATATATTTTCACTATCATTATAATTTTGTTGTCACTATATATATTAGACAGAGATTTGATTGGAGTGCAATTATTATTCAAAAAAGAATGAACGAATGGATGAAAAAGATGGTGTTACGTGGAATATCATTAATTGAATGAGCAGGTCGGTATTGTAAATTTGCAGTTAAAGATAGTCCAACCAAAGGAATGAATTAGGCCCTAACATAACATGTTTCTAACGGGAAATACTTCAATCATTTGAGTTTGATTGAAAGGAAATAAAAAGTTGGAGTGGTATAATACTTATCTTTAAATATCAATAAGTATTGACCATAATCTCTATAAGCAAGAATTGACGATACAAAATTATTGCTGAACACAATCAAAATGTTGACAGCAAAACTAACAATGTATGTATGCTCACTTACATTATAATTATATTTATACGGTAAATTAATTTTTTTAACAAGTTGAATAATAAAGCGAGAATTAAAGATTTTCAAATCTGGTTACAAAAGGAACGAGTTCTCAACTCGATAAAAGAGAAATTGTTAATCAATTGCGTCTTGGTAAATTATTTATTTATTTTAGATAATAATAGAGAAATATTTTTGTGACACATATGAATTTATATTATTAACTATTTAAAATAGCTCATTGACAAATATATTAATAAGTGTTTATTAACGTATTTTATTAATATTAAAATACAATGCATTAACTTCTTTTGGAGCTTATACGACGAATAGATGGAGTGGTTAAGAAAAGACGGAACGAAAGTTTGGGTTTAGAATAAGAATTTGTTGGTGGGTTTTACGTCTGTTTATTTTTGTCTTTTTAGTTTATTTGGTGGGAGTGTGAGTAGATGAGAGCGGGTGATCTAAGGGATGATTAGGGTTTAGGAGGAGTTGGTATCCTTTAGAGTGCATGTATTTTTTTTGGTAGTTGCTTCAGATTAGATGTTGACTAGACAAAACCTTCTTAGACAACTCACGTCTATCAATAGCAGGGTGGGTTGTATGGTGTGTTTAAGGTAGATGAAATCGATCGATCACTTGTTTGTGTTTTGTGAAGTTGCGTCCACAATTTGGTATGAAATTTTTAGGTAGATGGATAGATTTGCGCCTCTTCTAGTGTTGGTTATTGATGTGTTTTGATATGTTTCAGGGGTTTTGATATAGGTAAGAAGACGACCTTTTGACGGGTCTCGATTTGACATTTGATAGTTTGTACTATTTGAACGATGAAAAAAAAAACTTATTTTTTGTCAGGAAAGATTGTCAGTGAATCATTAGATGGGGGTTTGGGTTTATATTAGTGGGGTTTTTAATAGCTACATTAAAAACTACAGTTTATTAAACTTTGAAAATAGTGGGGGTTAAAAATCCCCTAAATTTATAATGGGTGATATTGTA